TTATATCAACCTTCATCGATAAGCGATGATAAACACTTATCCGAAGCACACATTTTCATAATTTGTGCCACAAAGTACCGAGGTTTGTTTGAGCACGACTATATTGTAAAGCCTAAGCGAGGCAGCTGCGTGACCAATGGAAAGACATCCAGGATTCCCAAGATAGACGAACTTGATGATATGCATTGCATACGATAAAGGTATATGACGGACATAAGGGTTTGGACGTTACCGGTTTTGAGCTCGTGAGAAGGCGTGACTTCGTCGAGCAGGGATCGCCGAGAGGAAGCATAAATGGCCGGTCAGGGCTCCATCGAGGGCCACACAACACTCCCCGATCTAAATCACACCTACCTCGGTCGTCTGCTGCGGTCTGCGTGTCCCTCCGTCCGTGTCAGTTCCGTCGCGTCGGTGGCGCCCGGACCTGCGAGTGTCCGCTGCACGACCTGGCTGTCCGCTGTCCGCTGTCCTCGCGGGCCCGTCGGACACAACACTCCTCACCGCGGCTGACACCTGACTGAGAGGCCGCCGCACCGCACCGGAGCCGCCGCCGCCGCGCCGGCCGCAGTCCGTCTCGCACCTGACGGCCGCGGCGGAATGGAGAGAGCCGCACTGCCATCTAGTGTCAAAAGGAACAACTACTGCTCTAACAGAGGACGCGGCGGTCACTTCAGAACGACGCGATTGTTCGGTGCTTTCTTCACAGTTCAAGGTTTCACGGTTAAAAATACTAGTTCACACGATTTCCATTATCACCGTTCCGTGCTTCTATCCTCAGGATACTGAAATCCTTCTCCTCCACGCCGCAACCCCCCTCCGGACTGGACAGGCAACTTTATCTCATGCGGGCTGCTCCCTTGGAGCGGCACCGCTGCTCCCGAGGGAGCGCACCCCGTAGCCGGGTGCAGTGAGTGCCTTGGGGCTGGGTGGCCTGTCCTCTGGACGGGCTCAGCCCCGGCGACTCACTAGGGTGCCTGCCCAGACCAATGTCTCCCCCTATATCCTATCATCCTCCCGGCTCTGCAATGGTCTCATTGGACCAAAAGGGCCTAACCCAACAAAACAAAAAACAAACGATTTCTATATTGAACTCCTGCATGAAATGGCATTCACCGTTGAGTGCATTTCACAATGATTATACGAAAGTCGCTTATTTTTTAAATGGAAAAGTGACACGACACTTCAGTTCTTTGGTTGAAGCGCCAAATTTCGCTCATTTGTGAGAAATGGAGGAAACCGAGTGCCGGGTTGTCATTAAGCATCTTCATTCACAAGGCATACCTTCATCTAAAATTAACCATCGCCGGACCTATCGGCTATCGGGTCTTTTCATAGCTACATCGGTCGGGGGAGACCCCCTCGCGGTTTCGTCCCTAATTGAGCTAGAGCTTCGCAGAAAAAAGGTAGGTTTACGCCGGTAAGAGGTGCAGCGTCTGGTGCTCGACTTTAAGGTCAACCGGTGACCTCTGAGGCTAGGTCAAGTATCCTTAATTATGGGTCGGGCTTTTGGCGAAATAGCCAAAAGCGTATGCAGAACTGCTATTTTGTTATCATCGTGTTCGTCATGCTCAAGGGCGTTGATTGAGTGAGAATGTTTTGTTTTGTTTGAGTGAAGTCAACTTAAAATGTTAACCTCTTCTGCCTAAGTCAAGGTGAAGCCGCTCATGTCACGAGGCTGGTTGAAACAGGTCATACCTACCGTATATTGCTTTATTTGAAAGATAGGTATTTCTGAGTTTATTGGGGGCTTTGTCGACTCACTTATGAAATAAAAAGATTGCCGTTGTATGTGAAACAGTACCTACAATTTGAACTTTTCTGCGTCCTGAGATGTCGTAGGTGCAAGCGAAATGACCAACGAGGTTGGCGTTGCCGTGGTTTCAAATCATGCAAGATGCCTTCATAAATACTCGAATATTCATAAGTCAGCATGCCGTTACATGCGATTTACGCATGTGTATTGTGATTGGTCGAGACTGACTTATCTCGTGACGTCACAGATCATCATCTATTCAGATTACTATCCACCGCTCAAATCGAGGATATCCATCATATCCTGACTCATTTTAGTCCCCTAGATGGTATGACAGACAGCTCGCCATTGTGATTTGGACAAATTTGACCTATTTTGACCTTTATGTGACGTCACAGGTAGCAAATTGAGGTCGTCGAGATTTTATGTTGAGCATCTCGGTAAAATCTTTAGAAAGCCGTTTGAATGTAAAAGATCCGACTACTGATTCCGGAGATGAGACGCCTTCCCGCCCCCCCCCCCCCATCCCCCAACAGGTACAGGACCTATAAGAACCTGTCAGACCTTAATGGGGTGCGGGTTAAGGTTCGAGATGCTCATTTCAAACAGCAACAACCAAAATTGAAGATAAACAGGCGTCATGATGACCGTCAGCTTCGACGAAACCGAAATGTTTGGACACTATCATTTTATCAGTATTCTTTTTTCATGGTAATAAATGTTACAAAAAAAAATGTGCTCCCCAGAAACAATGCAGCAAATATTCGAGTAGCTCAATGGTAGGTACTGGTACTTACGTACATAAAGGACTAAAGGCACACTTACTCTGGTTGAATGAACAATGAACATTGCATATAGCCCAATGCAAAGTCATTCACATTGAACAAATATTGTTTTTCCAATAAGAGTGCATGTTCCATGTTTGTGCTCTGCAGTGCAAAACAGCCGAACTCGTCGATCGGCGGCGGACTGCAGGTCGGTGCTCCCGGCTGAATTGCCATGGCGACTGGCCCCGTATTGAGCGTCAACAAAGCCATCTGTCATCCCTCTCCAGAGGCCGTCCTGGCGCCGCAATACAAACGTGCGTGACCAGGGGGGGGGGGGGAGGGCCTCCCGGGGCAGGCAGAGGAAACACTGACCTTTGGAACATCATCAGCAGCTGAAACCTGTGGGAGCCGGATGTATTGCTGAGCTCACCGATACTGATCAAAAGCGTTCATTATTTGAGATTCGATCTCGTTTGTAATAATGTGATACCTAGTAAATTTTCAGTTGTTGTGGGGGCGTTAAAGGTAGACTGCCACCTTTTTTCCACAAAACGGTTTTCACTAGAGCTGAGCCACCTATGTCCCAGACTGAAGTCGGTTTTCCGAAATTCGAACCCGTTTGCGAGAAATCGGAGACCAAAGTTCAGTTTGATGCCATTTTTTTAGTCCAAGAAAACCGACATCTCTACTGTTTATCGATAACTTTGAAACATGAATTTTCTTATCTTTTGGTAAATATATGTCAAAACTTTGATTGTTTCGAGATCAGAGAAGAATTTTGGAGTGTCAAAATAAAAGTTAAACTTATATATTCAGTAGTTCATTTTTTCCAAAAAAGTGTGGGAAATGGGGTTTAACATGGGCCGCAGACCCATTCCAAATGAGCCATGATTTTTAAATGTTTTACGAACTTAAATGCAAAATAAATTAAACATGGCCAATTTCTTATGAAATCATATATTAGTAAATCATAAAATACCTTACTTTTTCAAATAAAATGTAATAATCTTATGACCTTGAAGTCTAGTGATGTGTAAACATTGTCGCTAGACATTAACCGATTGATAATTGTATGATAATAGACAATTTTTTTCGCGATTCACGTGATGATACTTTGTCAGGTGAATTCTAAAATTTTGTTTTGTCCAGGGAATAAATCATAGGCCGATCTGAGAAAACTTTTTGAAGGTGGCAGTCTTCCTTTAATAGAACATACTTTTTCACAGGCTGATATACTGACTTTTTTACGCCGTTTTTGCCAATGACTTGACCTGTTGGTGGGACGTGAATTCCTGTTGGTGATTTTCACTAATAAAACGACCAACTGTTTGAACTGGATGGGAAAAATAGATGATGCTTGCTAGCGTACAGACATACTTATATGCACATAAACACGTACATTCTCATGATGTTGAATATCTAAAGCTGACACATTTTATGCCAGTGTTGAATGCAAATTGGCCAAAAGCATACCTAATATTTTGACAAGAGTAGCCTTAATTATGCGTCATTAACACAAAATATAATTACAAAGTAAAGCAAAAAAGACAGTTCATGCTGACAGGTACGTGTTTTCCATGCATTGGTAAAGCGGCGCCATAATGCTATTACGTGGTGTGTAGGCGCTGATAAATGCTAAATAGGTACAATGGCATAGATAACATGAATCATGATTCATGCTATCTATATGACAATGGTATTGCAAGGACGCGACGCATGGCTTGCCGGAGAAGAGTCCTGATTATTTTCATCGCAACAAGTGTGTCAAAAATATAAATGTGATGATTGATATTTCTTACTTTTCTTATCTTTTCCGGAAACCAATCACCTGTCATAATTCTAAATGCTATTTCACAGACCATCCGGAGAAAACGTTCAGCAAAGAGCACATTGACGAGGATGTGTTTCGCAGCAGAAGCTTCTTCCTTGGAACAAATTATCCAGGATAGAACGTCAGCGTCACAGAAATAATCTCAAAGTCCAGCAGACATACGATCCTCCGATATCTGCAAGGCACTGATGGCACCAAAGCCAATCCTGAAGTACTGCGAATGCTGTCCAGGGCACTGGCTAACTGATACTGTCCAGAGGTCTAACCATGTCAATCTAGGTTCTCAATTGCCTGCTTTAGTCGGAATATAAAGAAGACAATCTGCAGTTGCTTTGAATGAATATCACTGACGATACTACCGACTGATAACATCGAAAGGGTCGATAAATCACGCCATTTGCAGTGAGCCTCGTACCCCGGGGACTCTCAACCAGTCGCATCTTCCCAACCCAGACCTACCCTCTGCTGGGAAGGTACAAACCATGAGCTCGCCGACCCTCGAACACTCCGTAACCGGATAAGACCGTTATTGGCCCGTGCACCCCTCGAGGGGGTGTAGCCCGGAGACGCGCCGCGCAGCAACATGCGGGCGTCGCGTCGGCGTCGGCGGCGAGAGGACCGTCAGTGCCGACGTGGCGGCGCCGGAGGACGCGCGTGCGACCGACGGCCCGCCGCCAGCGCCGTCGGGCCCGTCGGCACTCGACGGCAGACCAGCTGTGCGGCGCGGGCGGGGACCAAGTGTGGTGAGACGGTGGTGTGTGACAGCTTCTTCGCGTGAGAAGTCGAGCAGGAGGAACTGTTATCAACACATGCGGTGCTGCGCTAACTGCAAAAAAAGAGAAACACGGAGAAGCAGAACCGCTACCATCCAACGGTCTGTTCGGTCAAGGTAAGTGCTCATAGTCTTTCCGCTGGCCTCTTGGTGTAATGATGCAATCGAGAAGCGAGATTTGACGTTATAAAATGCTTTAGCTGAGAGCAATATTACAAATTGCTACTTATGGCGTAGGTAGTGCGCAATCCTTCCATCATGCGTCCAACATCCTATCGATCTTATCTATTACCTTGTCAGACACCTACTCGGAAATACCAAAAGGACGATGGATAAGGCAGTGTTACGTCAATCATCGCAACGGTGATTGAATTTGGTAAATACCTACTCAGTGGATTCATACCTAATGTGTCGGAGTTGTCCAATGTTGCCTGCAGAAATTTTGTTGGTATATCACCTAAGGAGGTGTTTCTGTCGTCCTTCTTCCAAGTTAGAAAAATCAACAAAGTCGTGAAAAACTCCCAATCCCGTTAGAAAATTTGACTTGAAAAAAAAAAATCGATCAGCGCCTACTACTCTCATGCTGTGCAATAGCCGCACCATCCCAGCTCGTTTTCATAAATCAAGCATTCAATTTCAGACAAATTATGCAGCGAACCATGTGGCAATCATCTCTTATTACTTGCGTTGAACACCACATAAGGTACACGATCCGCTGGACTTGATCATCGACATTGTTACGGTGATTATCAGCTATCGTTTCCATTCGAACTAATGGGCACAAAGCCTACTGACCTATTGACATTCGGAGTTCAATTGAGACCGAACGATTCACCCATCTCGAATGGCGAGGAAGCCTCCCCTCCGCAGCCGGGGGGGGGGGGGGAGTCCATTATAAGCCGGGCGACTCTCGGTATAGGTCTGCGGATTTTGAACACTGATCGAAGAGCAATGCATGTACACCGAATGCGCGTAAAACTTCCTTCATTACTGATGAAGATATTGAATCCCAAATTAGATTTGCGTGACTAGATGGGAGCAAGAGCCAAGAAGAGATAACAAACATTCTAACTAGGAAATCGAATAAAAGTGTTCTCATATATCTTTCATAACCCCTGTGCATCGAAACGGCCCCGCCTTTTGCGATATGATCAGCTATAGGGACTGACCAATGCGGCTCTCCTGGAAATATTCCATCCAGATCAGATTACATTATACACGGACTGAGGTCTCGATGCGCCAGAGATCACACAGTGGCTCTGCCTGCGATGCAGCAAATATAATTAGGCGGGCTTCCTGGGCCACGTGAACGGCAATTAGGGGCGTATATGCAGCGACCCCGTGGATAATCGCCTTTTGCATTCTCGTCGGATCCATCAGACTAGACGGAACGCAAATGTAGACAAAAAAGGCACACAGCATTGTCTGTCAGTGCATTGATCAATTTGGCAACAGATTCAGATTCACTTATTCACATTCAAAAATAATTGGGCGTCTACGGACCACTTAGGACTGCTGGCAAACAATTTAAACAATATAATTTGACGTTGACGTTGAAACAAAAAGCAATGAGCGTAAACTCTAAGCGCGGCACGGCCAGATAACAGAGTTATCTCAAGTCAAAGCTTAGGGGTCATGTGTGCGGACTGTTAATGCTCCTTCAAAAATGATTTTACAGTAGGTATGAATTATTATTTTAAGCATATCTTAAAACAAATTTAAGCGCGGCACGCCCCGCAAGTAGGTGTTCCCAAGGGGAAGGGGGAATCTAAAGCCAAGAATAATGTTTTGTGGACTTAATATGTTTCTTCAAACATTATTTTACCGATATGAATTATTATTCTTAGCACACCTTTAAACAAAACTGAGCGCGGACGCCCCACAAGTAGGCGTTTTCAATGCAGGTCAAATCTTCTTACTTTTCCAGTTCTAATGACCTTTACGTTTATTTGGCCCGACGCACTTGTGGGGCGCGTCGCGATTAATTTTGTTACAAGTTATGCTAAGAATGATAATTCATATTGTCAAAATCGTATTTGAAGGAATATAAATAGTCCGCAAACTTTGGCCTGATTTAACTTTGTTGCTTGCTTCAAGGTTTGAACGTGCCACTCGTGGATTTTACGCTCATTGCGTTCGTAACGTCAAAGTCGATTGTCAAAATTGTTGGCAAACAATTCTAAGCAGACCGAAGACACTTAGTTGTTTTTGAATATGAATATGATTGTGAATATGTTGCCAAATTGATCAGCGACTCTTCAGTTGCTAGTAGCTTGCAGTGCCTGCCAAATTTAACCCTCGCCGGCCGAGGGGGGGGGGGCGGGTGCCGCCCCCCCATAGGGTTTTTTCGCGATAGCTCCGAACACGCTGGCGATAGAGAGCTGAAACTTGGCATACCTGACCTTTGATCCAAGCCGCATCTTTTGACACCAACCGCATTTTTGGGTCAGGTCAGGTCACTGACCTATGACGTCATAAGTGAACCTCTGCACGGTCTTCAGATGTCGCAACTTCGCAACGCCCTCACTGCCAGAGGAGATGTCACAGGGAAATGAAACTTGCAGGATCTAGTATCCATTATGAGTCCCACAACTTGTATATCTCGGATTTTTCCTAAAGGTCATAAGAGGTCAGGTCATTTTCGTGACCTCACCATTATAAGTCAATGGGGAAAAATGAAAACTGCTATTCTGGCGCCGGGAACGATCTCCAACTATCTCAAGCACACCGAATCGTGATTTTATGCACTCCTTGCAAGGTTAGATGCGTCACTTTTGCAATGTTGACCTTGCGTGACGTCATTTATGACGTCATCAAGGTCATATTAGTTTTTCGTCAATAACTCTTGATCAAATTGAGCTAGCGAGTCGGAAAAGCCACCAATGGACTCAGGAAGACCTGCCGAATCGAATGATATGCGACATGACCTCTTTCGACCAACTTCGTGACCTGGGGGTGCTGACCTGACCTTGACCTGAGGTCAACACCCCAAGTTGACCTGACCCGGACAAAAAGTATACCATTCGACGCGCCTGAGCGAGACGAACACGATGCTGCCAAAATCGGCGCTCTGCGGCCGTTTTTTGCGAAGTTATTCACCAAAAACTGAACCGTACCTTGGGGCACTTGACCTGACCTCAGAGGTCACCGGTTGACCTAGGACCTTAAAATCGGGTACCAATCTCTGCGTCTCGTAACGGCGCACACGCTCGTTTTTTTCCGCGACGCGCTAGCTCCACCAGGGGCGAAACGGCGAGGGGGGGGTCGTACCCGCCCCCCCCCCCTCGGCCGGCGCGTATGTAGAAAACCAATAGGTCCGGCGAGGGTTAAAACTCATGCTTATCTTGACTTTATATGAGTGAAATTGTTATCCAGTCATGCGGCATGGTTATCGATTTAGACGTTTTGAAATTATACCTTAAAAATCAGGCAAGCGTGCAGTAAAGCTCTAATTTTATATTTCCTTCCATTTTCCAAATGTTTTGACATAGTTGATTGATGATGAACGACTTGATCATAACAAAGGAGCTGAGATGAACATACAAATATTTAGTAACACAGCACGCTCTGTTGAAACTGGGGCTGGCGGAAAAGGTGCAATAAATGTTTTTCGGCAGCTGCTGAAGCTAACTAGCTAGCTAGCTGAGCTGTAGCTGTAAGTAGCTGTAAGATGCTGCTTTCTTGTTTCCACATCTCTGGACACGATCAGTCCGCACATTATTGCCGTCAATCCGACAATCAATACAGCTCTGCTGCGCTAAACGGCTCTGTCCCAGACCTCAGCTCGTCTCGTCAGTCAGTAACTCTGACCGATTTCAGCAATAATCTCCATCTGCCGAGCCCGATCGGCAGCGTAGTGACAGAGGCAGGCTTTGGCGGAGATCTGAAACCAAACGCCTGCACAGACAGCCGAGGCCGACCCGACGGGCAGCTGGACAGCCTCAGCGGCTGGACTAGGCTCGATGTTCTAGCGGCCGGACTCGTTGCCTTAGTAGCACGACTCACTCACTGTCCCAGCGAATGAACTTGCTGTCCTAGCGACTGGACTCGCTTCCCCAGCATTTGGACTTACTACCCTGACGCAGCGGTTGGGTTCCTTCTCCGGCGACTGTGGACCCGGATAGCGTCAGACCGCTGCACGCCGCCTCCTCTCAGGCACACACACGATGAAGAATACTCCCTACGGACACGGCGGAGACGAGGAACTGCTCTTTGGCGATTGGACGTCAGTGTCGCCGGCTGGCAGAGCGACCCCCGCGGAGCACTTTATTCGGTCCCTGGGGGCTACTCGACGCAAATGTGTCTCCGCACGACAGATAGCTGCTATAAGCAAAATGGATTAGTTTTGTTTTGCTCCAGTCAGTCATGGCTGAGTGATTAGTTATGTTTCTCTCAGCTATAAACATGAGTGAATTACTGAAAATCCTGTGAGTGATAATGTAAGTTGTTAGACTGATATACGCAATAGAACCTGACGAAATAGGCACATGTAGGTAGGCCAACGGTTGATATTTCAGATAAGACGTTATTCTAGATCCAGTATTGCATTCATTCAGCACATATGTCATATAGCTCCCTTTTTTACACTAAAATTAAACGATGTGTTGTGTTTTCAGGCCCGCCTGTCACCATGAACTGACGTTGGTCCGGCCACACCATGTCCTCTGAGGCACCGGAGAGCCAGCCGACGGACCTGAAGGGCTGCCCTGCGGACCTAGCAGAGATGCGGGAGCCGGTATCGGACCAGACCCCTCCGCCGGACCACCAGCAGCAGGCGGCCGCGCTCTCTGACGAGGCGGTGACGGCGTTCCTCACGGAGCGTCCCCAGTTCGTGCAGCAGTGGCTGCGACAGCGCGGCGGCAGCGCGCTGGGCACCGTCGCGCCGCCGGTGGTGCTGCGCAGTCGGAACTCAATCACGGACGACCTGTTCCGTGACCTGCTGGAGCAGCGGCGCGGCTCCCCGACACCCGTCACCAGCTCTGTGACACCCAGCTCGGCGGCGCTCGACGAGAACGAGCTCATGATTGAGCTCATCAGGGATATCGCCAACGAGTTCGACATCCACCTGCTCTGTCGGAAGATCATGAAGAACGTGGGGGTGCTGACGCACGCCGACCGCGGCAGCCTGTTCCTGGCCAAGGGCTCGCGAGGGCATCGCTACCTGGTGGCCAACGTCTTCGATGTCATGGGTGACGAGGAGGGCGCAGGTGGGTGAATAGAGTGAGGACGGAGGTGAGTTGAGTGGGGACGGAGGTGAGTTGGGAGAGAACGGAGGTGAGTTGGGAGATAACGGAGGTGAGTTGGGAGAGGACGGAGGTGAGTTGGGAGAGGACGGAGGTGAATAGAGTGAGGACGGAGGTGCTCGCTCTATTCACCAAAGATGGAGGCACATCTTTGTTTGCTAGAGGTCATGCAAAATCAGAGTAGGTACCTAACGGCTAACGCAACGGAGTCCGTCAAATATATATAATAATTTCAATAGAAAAGTTCGAGAAAACGTATGATTCACATTTCAAATGCCACTAACTGATGAGTTTCTAATAGCTTTCTAAATGTTAAGAATTTGCAGTGGAATTGAATATTGACCAACTGCAAGCCAAATGTACTCTGACTTATGACAGAGTTCCTGGAACAATTCAGTTTAGTGAGCATACTCAAAGTCAATTACATGTTGATTCTATTACATTGTCGAGTCTAATTCATAATTTGTCGATATTGCAGCATTTGCCAGCACCAATTCATTAATGCCAGTAGACTGGGCACATGCAATGTCATTAAAGCTGCCGTCGCAGCCCGGCCTTCGGCGAATGTCAAATGTGTCACGTATCCTGGGAATTTTATGTTGATGCTGAACGTGAACATGGTATCCCAAGCGAAATTGAACAGTCGGCGTCAAAGTGCTGACCTTTGTGTGACATTGCACTTTGACTTGTTCAGGAGACATGAAGCGGGCCATGCCCGTCACAGCGGTCTCATGCCACCGTCCCTAGTGAAAAAATCTTACAGGGTAGCCCTGTATGGTTGACCCTACAGGATTTTTGACGAAATTGTTACCAGGGTTCCTACAGGGTATCGTACAGGGTACCGTGCACGGTGTCGTACAGGGTACCGTACACGGTGTCGTACACGGTGTCGTACAGGGTGCCGTGCACGGTTTCGTACAGGGTGCCGTGCACGGTATCGTACAGGGTGCCGTGCACGGTGTCGTACAGGGTGCCGTGCACGGTGTCGTACAGGGTACCGTGTACGGTGTCGTACAGGGTACCGTGTACGGTGTCGTACAGGGTACCGTGCACGGTGTCGTACAGGGTGCCGTGCACGGTGTCGTACAGGGTGCCGTGCACGGTGTCGTACATGATACCGTGCACGGTGTCGTACAGGATGCCGTGCACGGTGTCGTACAGGGTACCGTGCACGGTGTCGTACAGGGTACCGTGCACGGTGTGGTACAGGGTGCCGTGCACGGTGTCGCACAGGGTATCGTAAAGGATCTCGTACAGGGCACCACACTCGCCATTCTATAAGTATTCCGCATCAATTGTTATTGTGCTGTTGAGCCGATTGACCAGGAATGCTAAAAAGACCCACGAGTTTCCGCGTTACCGACAAAGTCAATATTCGGAATAAATGTATTTCTGGGATAAATACACAGCCATTTCCGGGTCACATCCCGTCACATTACGACACACGTCGTCGCGTCGCGGCTGCCGCTCCGTCCATCTATCTACGAATCTCGAGTGGTGGTGTCGCCCGACGATCCTCGCATCCTGCGTTCCTGTAACAAGGTGGATATTCACATGTTACAATGATAATATATTGATTGAAGGGACCCCTGCCGTCGAAAGTAACTAATCGGCATATAAGTGATACATACAACGCGATACAAAGTGATCGACATACAACATTATTTTGATGTTGTATCACACTTTTGCATACCTATCAATCTCCTATCAACCAAATACAACGCAAATTCAACGTGAAATAAATGCTGGATCGATGTCGAAAAACGGTTGATCCTCAATGTTGACAATCAACCTGGATACAACCAATTTATAATATTGAATTAATGTTGTGTGCTACTATGTAGTAGCGTCGACGCTACTAATGCGCTCTGGTATCTGATAGTAGACATTTAAATGTCTATTTTTTCAGCTATCTTTTTCGATCAGCTATTTTTGAGTGAACGTTTCGGCGCCATTTTTTTTTGTCTGTAATGCTGCCAATATTGAGAACAATTTTCGTATTGTTACACAGCAATACAGCATGGCAGAAACTTACCTTCAGGTCGGAAGAAGAGACGGCAGACGACACCGCACGGCACACACTCGACACTTCCGTCGGCTCTCCGCACACCGCGAGCGAGCAGTGAATGGGACGGACGGAATGCGGCGGAGGGGGACGCGCGCTCCCCTCTCCACCCCAGGCGAGGATCGGGACGCCCGCCGCCGACCGTACGGTCTCTAAAACAGACAGTGGGCGCTAAATTCCAGTCGGTACAGTCTCTGAAAGATCACCACAGCGCACAAATGCACACTAGTTAGTCCCCGAATAATACAGTACAGCAACGCGTGATAATGTTATGAAGGGATTAGGGAGTTATGAAGTGAATCGATTCTTTTATAGGGATAAATTCACAATTCGTAATTCCCTATATATCGGGACAATGTTGACAACAACATTCGAATGCTTATGTCCCCGCCAGTTCTAATAATGAGCAGTACCATATTTTTAATTGACCGAATCCTCAATGTAATCTGAATAAAATGACAAATAGCAAAAATTCGGGTATATTCGATCACAGATCTTTGTCAACCGATACCAGCAGGCGCCAACCGATACCAGTGGCGCCTGCTGGTATCGGTTGACAAAGATCTGTGATCGAATATACCCGAATTTTTGCTATTTGTCATTTTATTCAGATTACATTGAGGATTCGGTCAATTAAAAATATGCTCATAATCATCAATATGATTTTCCTCACTACGCTAAACTCTCTTAAATGAGCAGTACCGTCCTGAGGAGATGAATAAATCCCGGTAGGTTGCAGATTGTCCATTGTCCATTGTGTCCATTGTCCAACATATCAACGCACCGGGGCGAGGCATTTCTCCCTAGGTAGGTACTCCTCATACTTTACTTGACAGGTGCATCGTTTATAACTGTTCTCCACGTAGTCCGTGTGGAGCAAATGATCGCATTTGCTTGAAAGTTAAGCGAGCTCTTTAATTATGATTTGTGCGAAAAACGATTAGCGGGAGTAGCCTTCCATGGGATCAACACATTCTTGTAAGATTCTTCAATCTTACCAGAATCAGCATTCTCGCAAGAATCTGCCTATGCCAGGCAGATTCTTTTGGAAACATCAGCCCTGTTTGAAGCAAACAGGGCAAAAGCAAAACCAAACGCACCCATCGAACACACACGGTGTGACATTGTATCTGTATCGCAGTCAGTCCTCAGCGTCAATAGCCGGCTAAGAGGAGATGCCCAAAGTATACACCTTCGCGGACCGCCGACCAGCTGAGCTGGATCATGCTCACGGGCCACACCAAAGCCAGTAACGCGCACGGCGGAAGCGGCAGCCAGTAACAGTTGTTACATCGTACCAACGATAGGGGCCGGACCGACCACCCACGGCGTGATACTTATGAGCTGACCGCAGCCCCGCCGGTAAAAGCTGTTAGGAAGCTTCACGCAAGAAGCCGATCGTGGTGTGAGAGAAGCTGACCGAGCTCGACCGGCAACACCTATTAGTGAATATGTGTCCGGAATTCGTAACTCGCCGCTAGAATTATTTCCGGTCGCAGTAAAGTTGACAATGTCTCCAACTTGCGAACAAAACTCGGGTGGTTGTCCCCGCGCGGTATGTCCGATTTCCACACCCTTGTCCTCACATAGGTACAAGGTCCTACAGCGCCGAGAAATCGAGCAACTAGCAATCCTGTTCGTCGCTAATAGCGCTATCCCCGCGAGAAACAATCCAGGCAAGCTCACCTCCTCCATCTTCCCCGTCCGCGGCTGGAAACGGGCAAGCGGCGGTTTGGCTATCGCGCTGCAGCTCTGCTGAACAGCCTGCCACCTCACCTGTCGCAGCTGCCTCCCGCCGTGAGTGAATGTGCAAATGTTCTGAATGATTAGATAAGCAACCGCGGATATGGATTCTGAGCAGTAATCGCCACGCACGTTGTATGTGGATCGCTCTGAAATGTAAATACGGTGCAATACAATACAATACAATATCATCCGCACTGTATGGGCTTATCACTGCCAACCGGCAGAGAAGAGCTCACCGCTGCTCCGCCGTAAATGTCGATTGTCTCATCGGGACGGTAGACTCCATTGGAATGAAACTGTCAGCTGCATGTATACGAATGAAGAAATAAAGAGTGAACACGCACGGTTAGCGGGACCCGAACATACGCAACCCGCCCCGGAAACTCGAAGGCGAGACCAAACCCCGCCATTCCGGAAGATATCAGGGCGGGAACAGCCTCCGCCATACCGGGAATATACCAGGGTGGGAACAGCCTCCACCATTCCGGGAATAGACCAGAGCGGGAACATTCTCCGCCATTCCGGGAAAATACCACGGCGGGGGGGGGGGCCACCTCCGCCAGTCCGGAAATATACCACGGCTGGCACAGCCTCCGCCATTCCGGGAATATACCGCGGCGGGAACAGCCTCCGCCAAGCCGGGAATATACCGCGGCGGGAACAGCCTCCGCCTATCCGGGAATATACCACGGCTGGCACAGCCTCCGCCATTCCGGAAACATACCGCGGCGGGAACAGCCTCCGCCAATCCGGGAATATACCAGGGCGGGAACGACTTCCGCCATTCCGGGAATATACCGCGGCGGGAACAGCCTCCGCCTATCCGGGAATATACCACGGCTGGCACAGCCTCCGCCATTCCGGAAATATACTGCGGCGGGAACAGCCTCCGCCAATCCGGGAATATACCAGGGCGGGAACAACTTCCGCCATTCCGGGAATATATCAGGGCGGGAACAGCCTCCGCCATTCCGGGAAGAAACCACGGCGGGGACAGCCTCCGCCATTCCGGGAATATATCAGGGCGGGAACAGCCTCCGCCATTCCGGGAATATACCAGGGCGGGAACAAGCTCTGCTATTCCGGGAATACACCAGGGCGGGAACCGCCTCCGCCATCTTGGAAATATACCGTGGAGGGAACACCCTCCGCC